CCACTGCCCACCAAGGAGACCATCGACCAGGAAAAAAGCGCTTAAAACTGTAATTACTCCTGGGACTCGACTCCCGACGCCAACTTTTGTATTATTTTATACTTTTATATAATATTTGATACCTATTTATATTGTAAGATAACTATTTAAGAACGGAATAAAATTATTGTAGGGAATTTTTCGCCGACCGATGAAACAAAAACGTTGTCGTTTTCTCGTTTTGCGGGACGGTGTTATTGGTCGGCAAAACATTCCGGCTTTTTTTACTCATTGATATTCGATAATGTAATCATTTTGTATGTACTTATCGTTTGACATTTTTGAATAGGTCTAGTTTACGAATGAAATTAATTTTGCATGAAATATGGTGCTTCTTTAATAAATCATCTTTAAAAGATCGACTGTTTTTTATTATTAAAAGCATTGAGATAGAATAAAGGGAAGATGCTACGACAATAGTATTGCATTACACTTTTACGTCATATGTCAAACTCAAGAGATTAAATGCTGTGATTTAAGTGATATTTAAACATTTTCGTTCCGCCAAGCTGCAAATATAAAATTAACTTCAAATTAATCAAAATACGACTCTAGTCGCCATTTTGATTACACTTTTCCATCACTCAAAGTGCGTCTATCTGTCACATCGCAACGTAGTATTTTATGTTGTCTTTACTTCATTCTATCTTGGTGATTACCAGACACTAAAAAAAGTGACGCGAAATTGTCTAATGTCAACGCGTTGTCAATGACAAGTGACAGCGGTTTTTCTAACGAAACGCTTCCTGAAGTAATTAGGCAAAAATAAAATACTGTTAATGGTGGTTTATGTTTTAAATAGTATAAAGAATATTGGAAAGTCCATCATTTGTTTTATTTTTGAAGAACAATAATTAAATGAGTAATATTATAAAAGTTATGGACTTTCCAATATTTTTTATGATATTTAAAACCTAAATAGCAAAATACAATCTTATGTTGGCCTAATTACTTTATGAAACGTTTGTAAGATTTAAAAATGTACTGTCGATGTGTCGCCATCTAAGGAGGTGATAACCAGACATTTGCAACCGTGCTAATTCCAGACATACGTTTTATTAAACTCGTCGTGTTACGTATTTGTTGACATTATGAGTTAGAGAAGATGCTATGTTGCTATAATGGCACAGGCAGTTCGCACTGAGTATATTTATCTCCTCGTTTATCAATATGTAAAAGAATAAAGTGAGAATACCAACCACGATGAATAACATTATTATAGTTGTTTCCAGTGGCGCAGCGAGGGGGTTTTAGGGATTAAACCCCCTCCCAGACCCAGAAGCGAAACTAGACGATTTTGAAATTAAAAAAGTTAATCTAGGTAAAAAATTATATCTTAAATACTCTCAATTTTTTTTAAACCCCCCCCCTCCCTAATACAAAATTCTGGCTGCGCCACTGGTTGTTACAACTTATTTCAAATACCTCATAAAAACAAAAGACGATATGGTACAAAACCTTAGATAATATAATAGCAGATAGGCCACCACTGCATAAAGTTATACAATATTAATCTCGCTATCATATAATCAGTATCTCTCTTTCTAATTAAGGCTTTCTCACTTGTTTTAGAATTCTTACCAGTAGCGTACCGTAAAACAATTTCGCTGGGTCATTTTAAATGCGAAAATGTTGACCAAATAGAATATAAAATAAAATGTTTTAAAAGGTAGGTAGGTAGGTGCATTTTTATTGAAGTGAAAACAAAATATGACTTTTTTTGTTATGAATATAATATTAATAACAATTACTTTTAACACCACAACACGAACAAATTTAAATTAAACACTGGAATAATTATCCTTTAATCATCCTTTAATTTCAGCTTTCCCCTTTTTATTTTGCTAACAGTACCATCAATAAAAATAGTCTCATAATACTTGAAAATATCTTCCTAAAATGTATAGAACAGCATCATCTCTAGAAAGTGCTTTATCGGCACTAGGAACGATATATATGCTGCCACTATTCTAAGCCTTTAGTATCAAAAAAAAAAAAAAACATTTACAATGACAAAATTGAGGTTTAACAAAAAAATAACAGTAGCAATACTCTCCGTGATACCTGTTATGACTAGTTTACAATAAATATTATATTTAGATATAAATACATTGATTTCTCCTCGTGTTTTCATTAGTTTTACAAGCGATTTGTATCCTGTTTTACAATATGGAACGAAGTACTTCTTTTCACATTATTTTGATTCTTTTCACCATTTTTTTTTAAATTACTTCAGTTTACAATGACTTATATAGAAAATGAACGTCAGTAACGTTCGACCTGCCAACTACAGTCAATTTAGCGAACTTTATAAAAAAGGACAGAAATTTGATTATTGCCGATTCGCCTTCTTATATCTAGTCTTCATAATAAAAACAAAAAGTATGTATATATCTAAAATAGTTCTAAAAAATCCGCCAAAGGTCCTTAGTAAATGATGTACCCTTTTGACCATTAAATATATAAATGAAGACTATCCTTGTTTCAATCTATTAATCTGGGCATGTACGTGAAAGCATTTCAAAAGAAGGGACCAAAATTTGGCGAGGGTTCTCTAGAGGCACAATTTAAAGAATATAACATAGAGCAGCTATACTCAACCATTTTTTCATTCGGACCACATACATAAATTTTCTATGTTAATATGGGCCGCAACATTTTTGGACGATGACTTTTTAAGGTCGTCCATTTTAAATTAGTAGGGATCTGGTTTTATATTTACGTCCCATGTAATAAATAAAACACAAGATCTAAATACATCCAAATATTTATTTAAAAATTAGTGTTAAAAGCACCAATCAAAATTGTGTTTCGGGCTGCAGATTAAATTGCATGCGGGCCGCTGGTTGAGTATGGCTGATCTAGAGGGTAGGTGCTTTGTGGATGGGACCGTTACTCCCACTCTAAATCAAGCGAATATTGGTTAAGAGAAGTGGTATACTTACAATTCTCACTTCAGGGAATACAAAAAAATCGTTAGACAAAAACATACAGATTCATGGAGCACCTACTGCGAAAAAATCGAAGATTTCCCGCAGGCAGCGGGTCTTCAAAAAGCTCTCTCAAGAGATCCACACTGCAGCATTATTAGTGCGTTAATTAAAGAGGATGACATGAAAACAGACACGTCAAAGATAGTATTAAACTTCTGCTGACTAGGGGTGAGATTACAGAACGTCTGCAATTTTGCAGATCTGCAAATATGCCGGACTTACAGATGCATGTATCAAGTTTTCGTTTTCCAAAAAATATCTGCAAATTCGTAAAATTTATTGTGGTTTATTACCCCCAACAACACTAAACCCAGATTCACCCTTAAAGAGGTTTGAACGTCCTACAAACTTGCAGATTGTCAATTTTTACTTTACTTATTTTAATAACCATGAAGTCTTCTCTTCCTTTTGATTGAATACTTTTCGTGGTGTCAGATTATCGAGTTTTTAAACATAGTAATGGATTTGAGTTTAGTGTTGTAAGTCCGCCATATTTGCAGATTTGGCAAAGTTGTCGCCATATTTGCAGATCTGCAAAGTTTGCTGCCATATTTGCAGATCTGCAAAGTTAGACGTTCTGTAATCTCAACCTAGGTCATCACAGACGTGGACGACTGGGCAGAGGAAGAATATAACCCATCTGTCTACGATTGGCAAACTGCCAAATATATTGTAGACGATGACAAAATTAGATGTGGTCACCTTAAGATGGATTAAAGGTCACGCCACATCGAAAGGTTGCTTATTCACGTTCCAGAAGGCAGCCAACCAATTACTTTTCGTATCTAGCCCTTCTACTAGCCTGACAAAATCGGTATTGACAGTCCTAATTGAAGAACATTCCCTTGTGAAGTTCAAGAAAAGATGGGATGAAACAACAATAAACTGCAGAGTTGCTAGGGAGTTTTATTTAAGTTATCCTGACTATCTCTAGTCTTCATAATCCTGACAACACTACAGTAAACAAATACTTAACTATGTCTAGACAGAATTTGCGCCTGGTCCCAGGCATTCTGACTGATCATTGCCAAGTATGGAAGCATCTTGATATCATGGGACTGTCAGAATCCGCATTCTGCAGTGGATGCGAACAAGAAGATGGGACCATCGAGCATATCCTCTACGATTTCCTCACGCTCTCTTTGATTAGAAGATTTGTGTTCGCCGAGTACCTATCGGCTAACACCGGCCGATATAAGAGAAGCATTTCCTACATTAAATCTGTAGGCTGGCTCACGAGCTAGGAGGATGCACAATGGGCCTAGTGAGGCCTAAGTGCCGTGGAGTAACCCTTGTACACATTATAGATACAGATTCAGAGAAGGTCCAGTTTATTTTTACAAATGTTCAAATATATTTTTATTTTAATTCTGGGTAAAGTTGTAGGAAAGGTATGTACTTAACGCGCATCCTGGCCGCGCATATGTAAACATCATTATATTTATCGCGTATTTGTTTATATTTATTGATTTATTTATTTATTTGTTATTTTACTCAGATAATTATTTATTAATAATATAAAAGTAGCAATCTGATAATGTTTGTACAGTTATACTGTGTAAAAAACAATTACTTTATATGCGCGGCCAGGATGCGCGTCAGTACATACCTTTCCTGCAACTTTACCTAATTCTGAATACAATTTAACAATATGTATATACTTTAAGTATTTCTTCAACTGCACTTCTCTGGTAGATATAGAGGAATTTAAAATCGTTTGCAAGTTAGCTCTGGGAATTATACAACAAATAGAAAAAATTGCTCCGTTATCTATCAGAAAATTTTCACATAACGATCAAAATTTGCAGTTATATTTTATTTTTGTAATTTTTGTTAAATATCTAATAATTTTTTTGAATTTTAAACGTGGCAACATCGTATTTATTAATTTTTAAGAGCAAGAAAGAACAAAATAGATTAATAGCGAAGAATAAAAAGAGAATCGGCAAAAACAAAGTGCGCGTGATCTCAAATAATTATACTTTTCTCTCTTTTCTTCGAATCGCTACGATTTTGCGCCTACTTGTTGATCGCACGTGTTTGACTTTGGATAAAATTGTTTAAAAACGCCGGGTTTTTAGTTACGTTATGAGGTAAAAGCGGTGAGTTGTTTTTGAACTTAGATAAAATTTTTGAAAATAAGAATATCGAGTGGAATTATGTCACTAAAAATTGGAAAAAAAGGAAGGAATCCAGGAGCAGTTGATAATTGGTTAGACGAACGCGGATTGTACAGAAAAAATGTAGCCTACGATGAAACTTGCTTGTTTAGGGCTATCAGCGAACAGGTGGGTGTTTATTCTTTTATAACAACTATAATTATTAGATAATTATCGAAACAATCTTTTGGTCAGCTTTTTGATTGCCAAGTTCATCATGAACGAGTTAGAAGAGAGTGCGTTAACTTCGCCAGAGAAAATTACGAGCAATTTTCTGACGTTTTCGATACGAAAGAAAAGTTTCTGAATCACCTAGAAAAATTAGAAAAACACATGGTAGTCTGTGGCGACATCGAATTAAATATTATTAGTAAAAAATACAAGTATGTGAATGAAATAAATTCGTTAATTTCCTTTTAATTTGTTATTTTTGTATGGATTATTTCAGTCGGCAAATTATAATTTTCGATGCTGCCGAACAACAAATATATCCCTTTACAGAAATAGAATTGCCAGAAGTTTTTTTACTGTGTTTGATGGACAGGGACCACTTTGATGTAGTTTACAAAAAGGAACAAATTGACTCTGCAGGTTTTTGTCAATGTAAGCTTAATTTTATCATTAAACTGTCTCAAAATTAATTTCTACAATCTACTGATTTTTAAGAAACATTAAAAACTACAAATTACCTAATTATTAAGTTAGAAAATTAAACAGATGAATAATTTGTATGACATGTCTGTCAAAAGCTGCATAGCCTTCTTTGAATGTTCATGTTACAAATTGATTTTTATGTCAGTTACGATTAGAAAATAATTCAAAAAGCTAAATTTGCACAAAAAAAATGCAAGATTAAATATTAATAATCAGAAATAAATATTAAATTTGAATTTTCAGCCATAGTCTACAAAATTCTTTACGAAGGAGTGTTTAAAATACCAAACGTCGATGATATAGTTCACAATATGCTGTATGACAAAAGTAATATCATCACTCAAGCTGAATTAATGTTAGAGAAAAACAAAATTTTACTGGAATCTGGCAACGAAGATTTGACTGAAGAGAAACTGGAAGAAAAATTTGAAGAGAAAGCTGCTTCTGCTGTCAACATTGCACCCTTTCCGTTTAAGATAGCCAAAGCTTTAGATCCTAACATATACAGGAATATAGAGTATGATTCATGGGGTGAAATGAGGAAAGGTTTTGTATCTATTTTTATTAATAATAAAATAATAATAATAATCATCTTTATTTTGAGGAACAATCATAATACATATAAGACAATTCTCAAACAAAACAGTGTCAAAGAAAATATATTAATGATCACATAGTGTAATATTTATTAATTGTATATGGTTCTAAAATAATTAACAATTCATGTACTTCCCTTTTAAATACTTTAACATTTGCTAATCTTTTTATTGTATCAGGCAGTTTATTATACAACTTTACACAGCTGCACCCTGCTCCATGTTCTGTAGCTATTAGCCTATGTATTGGATATACTAGGTTTATATTTCTCAATGTATAAGCATTCGTTGGTTCAAAATTTGAAAATAAAGCTCTATTTTTAAATAAAAAATTAAACATTCCTGGATGTATATGCCTATCACAGTTAAGATTTTATTTTCTCTAAATTTACCTATACACGACTCTCTCATATTCTAACTGAGCATAATTCGCATTATTCTTTTTTGCACTAAAAAAACCCTTTCAATTGAATTTCTCCCACCATAGAATAGTTAATAGTTTAGTTATAAGTTACAATAAAGTACAATAATGGAAACCAATTATATAATAACAAGCACCTAAGAGAGAACACCTGTATGTGCTGAGAAAAATTAAAATTTTATTTTAATTATATTTAATGAGTTATAAAGGAAATAAAAAATAAAACTTGAACAATTTATTCAAGAAACAGAAAAAAAACTATTTAAAAAAGATCATGTATTAAGTCCGTTATTCTTGGAATATTCTGATAAACTTTGTAGTATTTTAGAAAATGTATATTTTGCTAACTTTACAGAATTTTTTATATTTGTTTAATAATTTTATATTGCGTAAACGGATATAAAGAAAAACGCCAAATTTTAAACTTAAGCTTTAATCCGTCCTGCAGTAAACTGATTAGATTTTGGGCATAGTCGGCACATCTGGGGGGTACTTTTTAGGAAGTCGTTTTTCTACTTTATACACTCCCCGACACAAAACTCAGCCACCCTAAAATTTTGACAAAGTTTGATGTTTTATAACTTTTTTATCTTTTATCCTATGTTTATGAATTTTTTACCAGTTTGTAGATAAATTTATTGTGATTTTTTCTAATTTTTTGAAATAAGTAATATCTTTCGTTTAGGCAACATTATACAGGAGTAAATCAAAATGTTGTTTTTTGTCGCAATTTCAAAACACCCTGTATCAAAATTGAGGTGGATAATTTTGGTTACATACTGTTTGTTGTAATCTCAGATGTATTTCAAACATTTTGTTTTTTGATTCATCCCATTATCTCATTTTTTGTGAGATGTATTTTTTTTTTAATAAAACACTGTAAATTTTAAATAATGATCAGTTACAGTGGCTGTGGCTAGAAATGTATGATTTTTTTTAGAATGGCGATTGGGCGAATGGTATTACGGCGATAACAAACTCATACTAGGTACCAAATGTATTTTCAACGATATTAATACTAATCAAAAACACGATTGCTATATACAAGAGATCATAAAAAACGAAAACAAATGTATGATATACATTACTAAATTAGCTGAAAAAAGGTTAGTCAGGTATTCAGATTTAACGCCTGAAGATGATGCCAAACCTTGGCCGTTACCGTATAGGTAAGTCATATTTCAATATAAAATGTATATCATGTATATTTGTATTTTTAGTACGATTACCACTATAAAAAAAATTACATTTAATGTATCATTAGGTTCACCAAGAGCGTGGTTATATCTCCAACGACTCCGCCTCCAGAAAAAAGCGCCCTCAAACCAAAAAAGAGAAACAAGGAGAAAAATAGAACGAAAAGCGAAAGTAGTATTCTATCATCCATTAAACACGAACCACTGGTCGATAACGTAGACGCTTACGTTGGTGTTCCTTTGGTGAGCTACTTTTTTTTTTCATTCTTTCAAACATCTCTCCCGACGTGTTCCGGAAAAGCTTCTCAAATCCGGCTTGAGTATTGCACCCTCAAGGGGCACCATTTGGATGCCCTATTCCTTCCCATTCATTCAACTATACTATATAAACATTTTATTCCCTATTACTGATATTAGGCAGTTAAAACAGAATAATTTTGCTATACAATAAAAAATAATAAGAATAAAATAATTAATCATAGAAATCCGACAACGTGCTAAAGCTTTATCGCTGAACATAAATAAAAAATGAAGTTTCATTATTTTCTCATGGACGTCATTATTAAATCTTGACCAAATTTATGTGGGAAATTTATGTGGGACCACCCCTTTCTAACAAAAAAGAATCACAGAAATCGGACATTGTTGTAAAGAATTATCGCCGAAAATATGTATAACAAAGAACATTCAGACGAATTGAGAACCTCCTCCTTTTTTGAAGTCTCTTAAAAATACTTAATAAAAATTTACTGAAGGAGCCCATCTAATTCAGGGCCTAAATATTTGAAATCACAAACGACTTTTAAACGATTTTCAATTAATAAATCTGAATACCTACCCAAGAAGTTTTTAAAAAGAATCTAATATTAGAAGTTAAACGAATGAACTTAAAAATTGTTTTTTAACGATTTTATCACCTGTATGTATTACAACTTCACAAAACACGTGTTAATCCTTTTTTCATAATGTTTTATTAAATATCTCTCAAATAGTGTTTAAACTCTAATTAATAAAGGAACAAAATAATGTCTTTAACGGGCACTAATGCCTACTTGCTTGCATTCGCTTGTTCGAAATTCAAGTGTAGCCTCTCGTCTCTCGAATGCAGCACGCGCGCTATGTGATACCCCTGTAGCACCCGACTTTAACACTATATAAATCGTTTTGTTTTGTAATCATCGCTAATAAAATTTTGTTTTAAGCAAATGCAGAGTCCTAACACTTCAGACAATCTAGTTTATCCAGAAATATCGGTCGAAACTCAAACAGAGACAGCGCACGTTCAAGGTACCATTCAAACAGGTTTGGTGGAAAACGAGATCGTAGACGGTTCCAGTTGGTACACTAATGGTTACCAATGGCAGCCGTACATGCCGCAAACCATGGATCCGTATGTATGGCCTACCAGTCCTGGCATCACTCAAAACCATTTCAATTTGAAACCGATGGTGGCGTCTGCACCAGTTACTCCTAGCGTCATTCCCTATCACGGTAAGGAAGGACATTTCTTCTAAACAAATTAACTTATTTTAGCAAAGAAAACTTATATTTCGTGCCAAAAATGATAGTTTTCTTTATCAATCTAAGCTATATGTACACACATCGTTAATTATTTTTTATTTGCTATTTTTGACCCATATATAAATAAATCTTTCACAACCAGATCCAAATTATCCGAACTACTACTACAACTATCACGTCGAATCGTACGAACCGTACCCTCATCAGTGGTCGACTCCGTCGTTCGAATTACAACCTCCGCCGCCTCCGAGGAACCAACAAGAAAAACAGAACGAACAAGCCGAGAGTACCGTTAATGGTACCGAAATCGGCCAACATGTTGCACCTCAAAGTAATGTTAAAGTAGAAAGCGGTACCTGTTGCGAGAATACGAGTAGTTTAAATGTATCTGAAAGGCCGCCACCGTTGAGGTTTCAGCAAACTCCAGATACGCCGAATTACAATGGAACTTATGGTCCGTGCACGCCAGTCGAGATGTATTCGCCGGTTCCGAGGGTTATGCAGTACCCTCAGATGTCGCCAGGTGAGTAATAAAATTGTATGTTTAAAAACAGTAAATATTTCTTTGTAAAGGTGGCCAGATAGTGTATACCGCAACTCCGCAGCCTATGACAGATGTAGTAATGCCTATCACGCCTGTGATCTACACTCCTTCGTTGGAAATGCCGTACATGCCTTCGTCGCCTTTTATTTATCCTCCCACGCCTCCGCCTACTTGGTACCCAACAGGTACTGCAGGTCAGGGTTTCATATTTCCCCCAAGGCAATAGAAATATAAGTATTTATAATTATAGTAAGTAAACTGGTGATATTTTTGTTTAGATAATCAAATCAAATTACTTTTTTTTTTAGTTTATGGTATTTGACAGGTTGCAAAACTATCACCAATTTGCTACCCAGTGAGAATCACTATGTGATTCATATATTTTTTTTCCAAAGATGTATAGAGTGTTCAGCAATGCTTGTATCACACGTGACCAAAATTAGTTAAAAATATTTTAGTAACGCTAAAACAATGTTAATATTTATTTCATAAAGTCTGCATAATAGAGTTTGGGATCAGAGGGGAAATGCTGCGGACACTATAACCAGTGTCGCATCAATTATACGGGGTTTGCAATTAATATAAATAATAAATACTTTTAATAAATTTGGCACATGCTTAAAGTGTATTTGACAGATGTGACACATAAAAGTCACTAAAAACGAACTTTTTCGTTAAATTTCTTGAGGCGATTTTAAATCAGATACTATGTCTTGAATATGATTGACTACACTGATATAAATCAAAAACAATGACGTCATATTGAATATTGTCTTGAAATAGTCAAGTTTAACATGACTACAGTAAAAACGTGGTCATCACAGGTATGAAATGTCAAATGAAATGACAAATGTAAAACTTTTACTTTTTAATTATTAAATCATTGTTTGGTTGTATTATTTGTAAAATAGAAAGAAAGATTTACGAAAGGGAAAAGTGGGACAATGGTGACGATAGGGTATCAGGTTAAAAAAACAGGTATTTTTATAAAATAAGCTCCTTTTTTTGTAGAGATCTAAAAAAGGTCCTCCGCTTATATTTATTTAAACCATCAGATTCCTTTTTCTGAGCTTCTCAAAAACAGGTCAAACATTGTCAAAAATATCATTGTATATAACTTTAAATTTAAAAAACGTAGCAATAAGGTGAAATGCGGAGCATTTTTGTACTTTGGCGTAACGCGTGCCAGCAAGTTAAAAAGTGGGACAATTACGCCTAAAGCGCGACGTCTGGCAACCCTGGCTAAGTACCTAGATATGGACGCATTTAAGGTTTCTGCAAATAAAAAGCCAATTTATTTTCAAGGTAGGATTTATTAATGAACATGGCTAAAGTTTTGATAAAATTTCAGAGGCCAAAGTAACTATAATACCAATTTTCTCTTCATCCATGATCAGTAAACAAAACAAATATTTATTTTTATCCCTACAAATTCAAAAACAAATCCTACTACTATTACATAACACACAGATAAAAATTCATGATATCTGCTAATGTTATACCCATTGTGAAGTTAGTGTCAATATAAACCAAACATTTTTAAATCAGATTATTAGAACGTCATTATAATGATGTAAGAACCTTGACCACACTTGAATTGGTCACATTTCTAGTAACTGATTTAAAATCGCCTTTGTTTTACTAGATCATGTGGGATACAGGCATTATTAAAGACTTTACTTTAGTAACTTGCAATATTTTAATATCGTGGAATTAATTTCTTTTTGAGAATTTAAGCGTTTTTTATTTTTTGTCGAATTAGAATGTTTTTTTATTTTTCTTAATCCACGAAGCGTCTCTTTGTTGTTACTTTGATATATTTGTTATTAGTTGTGTATTTTTTTTATTTTTAAAGAATTTTTTGTTAAGTTTTACAAGAATATTGTGCCAACGGCCATTAACGCTGTTTTGGCGTATAAACAAAAGCGCCAACGTCACGTGACTGTCTTTAGACGTATCGTAGCTAACTTCACACGGACTTTCAAGGTACAGTTACAGAATTTGTTTGCTTTGAGAACATCTTCAATTTCTACAATGATCATCATTATTTTCATAAGAGATTAGTCCTTCAGAAATCAAAAAGATGATACGTCATAAGATTGACGTGAAGTTGACGCCATTTGAATAATTCCTCGCGTGTAGCAGCTCCATTTAATTATTATAAACTGTAAATTACATGTAAGAAGACTGATAATAAGATTAGTTATTATAGGTTACTTTAAAGGCATTTTATTTTTGAAAATCGTTACTGTTTATTTGAAAATTCGCAATTTTACGAAAATATCAATATTGAACGTTGTAGTAACATTTCAAAATAATAAAAAAGATAATAATGCTCATGTATAGATCAATTTTTAGATCTTTAAATACAGTTGTGATATTTTTTGGCTGTATGATTAGTTTTAGACAATTATTTTGTGTTTTTATACATTTATGTTTGTTTTCTTTATAGAATTATTGTTTTCAGTTTATTATAAAAGTACGTTTGATAAAAATAGCAAGAACTGATTGTGCTGAAGATATTTTTACCACCAGGTTAACTAAAAAAAATTAGGTATTGCAAATATTATCAATACGTACTGAGTGTTGTGTTTTGTTAAATTTATAATAAAATTTATATATTTGCTATTTTTTTTTTCTTTTTAGTTCCTACTTAGTCCTAAATCACCCTTAAGGACACAATTGGGCCACCAGTTTTGAAACAAAACAACTGTTCAACGAGTTGTACATAGATGACAATAATAATACTCTCCCTAATTCATCCCCTTACGAGTGAATTTCAACCCCTGAAGTCGACTGAACGACTTGTGTAGGGGAAGGGACGGCTATTATTATTATTTGCCGTGGCGCTCCGGGGCGACTTAAAGATGATTGATGGTGCCATTTGACTTACAGGCGAGGAAAACCTCACCCACCATCATCGAGACGGTAATGTATGGCGAATTTTTTTAATCTGCCGTGAGGAACTGTACCATTAGCGCGATTTTCCGTTTCGTTGTTTGACAGCTATACACAGTTAAAACAGTGCAATTAAAAGGTTAAGAATGAAAATAAACATCCAACATTTGTTAAGAAATATTAATAATTTAAAAAAATTACAGTAACAAATATTAATACGGGACTGAGTGATAGGCAAAGCAAGAAAAGAAATTAAACAATTTATTACTAAGATATTCAAGATTCATCATCGCTGCCTTGTGGTTGTCTCGCTTTCGGCCCGCCCGCTCTCTTCGCCATAATGATCTGGTCGACCCTCAAAATAGTCGCCGCAGCACCTACGGCGTACTTCAAACCCCAGTACTTGGCCTGGTACAGATCCAAAATATCCTTTTCTAAGGCGTCGCAAATGGCGTTCTCTGAATCGATGTCGACGCCTGTGTTTTTGTTACCGTTTTGATGTGCTTCGAGGATTTTCTCCAATACGGCGGTCGATCTGTGTCCGCTGTTGTCAGCCAACGCTTTGGGGAAGCTTTCCAGAGCGCTAGCGAACTTCCTCACGGCGTACTGTTCTAAACCAGGAAGGGTGTCTGCATACTGGGTTAAATGGACGGCTAATTCGGCTTCGGTGGCGCCTGCGCCTGGTACGAATCTTGGATCACGTGACAAACCCTAAAAAAAAAAAACGAATTTATTAGAGTATGTATGACTCAACCCTGTTAAATGCTTTCGAGACATCAACATAAGGCCTAAACCAAATTTACTTAGATTGAATTATTTTTTGCCCTACTTTAAATGTGTTGACACCATCATCAATGGCACGCTCTATATCATCCATGTAGTTATCAGTAGCCCCTCTAATAACAATGGTAGCTATTTTAGATTCTTTTCCCTCCAATCTGAATGAAATGATGGGAGTATCTCCCAACTCCTCAACACATACAATGTCTGCATAACCAAGTTCTTGAGTTGTGGGCGCTGTGAGACGAGGTAGGCAAGTTGCACCAACCTGAAGAGAAAAAAAATAGTAAAAATTTGAATACATCAACTACAAACATCAGAATTATACAAAATTCGACTTACAGTTTTGCAAAGTCGTCTGAGATCGAATTTGGAATTTAATCTTACAGCCATTAATCCATATTTGTGCAAATAATGCATAGCCATGTCTCCAAATTTAGCCCCGGCTACTATGACCTTTGCTCCAGTATCAGCAATAGCTTTAATCTGTAATTCAAGAAGGTCTTCTTCACCACGACTGAAATTCATGAGCTCATCTGCAGATTTGATAAGAACAGTGCCTGAAAATAAATTAAAATTATATTTTGACAGCTAATTTAATTCATAAAATGGACATATAGTCTTCACAATAGTCAATATTAAAAAAAAGTCAAATTTACAATTTAAAAAAAAATAAACATACTTTTTATGATATAGATATAAGCAAGGGAAAACTTTACCTCTTTGATACACTTACTGCTGATGAACATTCATCTAATCAAGAAATTACTTCTGATTAAACATGAAATATCACTTTAACAATGAGGTAACTCCAAAGAAAATAAATGCATTTAATAACTTAAATACAATCTTAAATAATTAACTTTTACAATGAGCGCCACACTTATTATGTTTAAATGTTTACCTTTGGTTTCTGTTTGCAGGATATCAACAGCACAACTGTATACAGCAATTTTCGCCTTTTCTGCTTTTGTAATCTCTCCTTCAACTTGTCTCTTGAACACCATACCCTGCACGACTTGAGAACTGTTCAAACCAGATCCCAAAACTTTACATATTCTCACATTGTCAACATTAAAGGTGGTTTCTTCAGGCAGAACTGATACACAAGCCTTTGCTATCAGATCAGCTAGGAAGTCTTCATTTCCATATTGTTTTGACTGAATTGCTGTTTTCAAAACTTTCTTAACCTCTTCAAGGTTTCTATAATCTTTAACTGTATAGCAGACTAGCTTGGGAAGGATTTCTAGACATTTATCAAGACCTTTTTCAAAACCTTCAGCAATTTCAGTCGGTGTGACACCGAGGCGTATTAATTCTTCAGAATGTTCTACAAGAAATAAATATATTACTATGACATACAACAATAAAACAACATAACTTACCTAACAAAGCTCCAGCGAGAATAATCACAAAATTAGTACCATCGCCAACCTCAGAATCTTGCATTTGACTACCGAGAATGATTAATTTCGCCGCAGGATGTTCAACATCCAATTCTCTAATAATTGTGGCTGCATCGCTAGTAACGAATTGCTTTTCGATGTGATTAATAACCAATTTATTCATACCGTTTGGGCCATACGCAGATCTAACTGAATGCGCAAATTCTTTACATGCTGTTATATTTCTTACAACTGCTTCTTCTAAACCAGAATAGTGCTGCGAAAGTCGGAAAAATCATTATTACCGGCCATTGTTTAACATACACCCAAAACCACATGTGCATTCTAGGCCTTTTAAAAAACTTATAAACTTACCCTGGCGCCTTCTTTTAGCATTTGAGAAAAGCCTGGGGCCTTAGGAACGTGTAGAGCCATAATTACTTTATAGTTCTTCTCAGATTATTTAATAAAAACGAAATCAACTGAATTTTCACTGAGACAGGTTAAATTTCTAGAACGGCTCTTGAAAGAAGTGACATATGTCATGTCTCATGTCATGGAAAACGTGACGAAAGTCCAAGGGTTTACTACACTAACAAGATGGATTACTCCGTTTGCCTTATACAAAAGCAGCGTTCTGTTTGGCCAGGGGTAGTATTCACGAATACCGACATTCGCATACGTGTTTTACAAAGTGTCTCACTTTGTTGAACGAAAACCAAGTGAGACAAATCATAAATCTCGCATGCGAATCTATATTCGTGACTCGAGAATACTACCCCAGGTTCTGGAACGGGACAGAAGCGGAGATTTTAGGGTGCTTTTAAATGACACTTAAGCGTGTTGAACTGTCACTAATCTGACTAAACCGAACGCTAAAAGGGTCGTTTGGAGTTAAAAGTGTCAAAGGAGCTTGGCAAACCGAAAGCAACTAAACTAGGCTAACCTTTTAATAGTAAAATCCTTGGCTCCCTCTATCATGTGATTTATGTCATGTCAAATGTCACTATTGTCAGTTGTTGATATCTAACCTCCAAACTGTAAATCTATTATTCAATTTATTATAAATAAACTGTAAAGAACGTTTATTTAGAATATTTTATAAATTAATAGCCGCCCTCATTTTCGTTTAAAGTATATTAATAAAAAAGTTTTTATGAAATCTAAAATGGATGAAGCACCAAAAAGAGGTCGGGGCAGAGGAAGGGGCGGTAGAGGCAGAGGCCGAGGACGTGGTAGAGGACGCGGAAGAGGTAAAAAGGCTATTAAAGTTATCGAAAGCGATGATGAAATAGAAGCTCCTCAAGTTGAAGTTGTAGTAGAGGATCCTGTTCTCCATGAAGATGCTATTGAAAATGTACCACCTCCAAGTATGTGAATTTGAACTTATTATTAAATCTAATTTATTACTTATATATGGAATTTGTGTTCCAGTTGATCTTGAGGCTGATATTTCGCAATTGGAAGCTCCAACTTTTACAACTATCAATAGAGGCCCACCAGAACCAATGTTGCGACTTGATTGGTCCCATAAAGTGAGTTTGATCGGGGAAAAAGTGTTAAATCCGATGATTCATTGCTGTGATAAATGTTTGAAACCCATATTGATTTATGGACGAATGGTAAGAATTATTTTTACAGATATTTGGATATGTAATAGTAACTATAAATTGTTTCAGATTCCTTGCAAACATGTATTTTGCTTAGCGTGTGGTAAAAAAGAACAAAAACAATGTCCTCGCTGTTTAGAGAAAGTAACAAGAGTTGAACAAACTGGATTAGGAACAGTATTCATGTGCACCCATGGTGGAACAAGATATGGACAGAATGGCTGTCGCAGAACGTATCTTTCTCAGCGTGACTTACAAGCCCATATCAACCACAGACATGTAGCAAATATGCCCATAAATCAGCAACCAATGGAGGTGATTGAACCTGAAAGGTCTCTACCTCTTCGTACTAAGACTGCCAATGATCCCAGATCAGGTGGTGGTGTACCATCAAACTTAAGATCAAGGCCCATTCAAGCTCAAGTATCTGGTGTAAGGACGAATCTCATAACAGTTCCAATTCAAGAATCTGCTCCGACTATCCACGAAACCGCGCCCACTACTCAAAATTATTATCAATTTCCTCAAACTGCCACTTACACCCAATCTTTACCTCCAATGCATATCCCCCCTCCACAACAACCGCAGTATTATACTGCACCACCTTCCTACAGTCCGGCGCAATCGTATCCTACTTATACTGGAACCGCTCCTACTGTTACACAGTATGCGCCTCCTGTGCAGGCGCAAAATAGGCAAACCCCTCAGTATGATTACAATGCTGCTCAGCAGTGGGGCAATAATCAACAATATTATAGATAGTTTTAGATTTATCATGTATTTATAATCTAATTAGTAATATAAAAATAAATTATGTTTATTATTTAATATTTGCTTTTATTTTTATCCTAAATTTATGGGAAAATAAAGTGACAGTCAAAAATTGTTGCGCCTTCTTTCTTTTAGTTTCGATGGCCTTTTATCCATTCGTTCAACGAGTACCTGCAGTTTACGACCTCGCGGAAGCTAGCCACTTTTTCATTTTAATGGCCTTTGACTTAGATGACATTTTGTTCATCTTAGTTGATTGGACTTTGGAGTCGAAAGTGGGAGTGAGTGCTCGAATTGTCGAACTCTGATAATTTATCGCTGACGTCCGAATTTCGCGCAAAAATTCATATAAAAACGGTTGAATTGTTTTGAATTTGTGGGGTCGACGGTTCAACGGCTAGTCTGTTTAAAATTGGGAGTTTAGGATTAAATGTTCGGTTTACTTTAATAAAATCGTTTTAAATCAAAATTGTGATAAAGTTATGTGTTATTAGATTTAATAAAGTACGTTGATAAAATATTGAAGCAAATAATTATAAAAATACTCTATTAATACTTATATATTATTTGATATGGAATTTAAGTATATAAACGATAGAAACAAAACTCCGCAATCGAAAGTATTTTCCAGCACAGCTAATTGCGAAAGGTTTTTCAATTTACCTCAGGATATTTCGACACCACCTTCACGGTTTTCAAAAATCGTTAACCCATTTGAATGTCGGTTATTAGATAGACTTCATTTACCCACTTTTAGGTAAGTTAAATTCCACGATTTACTTGTTTTGAAATAAAATTAATAACAATTTGAGACCCAAAAGAAAATGTTTTTTTGCTTCATTTCTAAATTTATTTGAAGCACTGTTATTCTTAATTGTAGTCCTTCAGTATTTGCAAAGCAGTCGACACCTAAGACTGATGAAAAATTTAGATGGACCATTGATGAAATTTCAAGTTTAAAGCCTGCATATATTGATGAAGAAACTATTAGTCAGCATGTTTTCGATGAAGATCCTCAGATGGAATCATTGGCACAACAAAAAATTGATCAATTCTTCAGTGAAAAGGTGATAGTTCCTAGTCCTATGATAGATATCATCAGGGTTCCACTTATTGCTGACAACTCAGCAAATCTGTTTCTTCCACAACAACCCAAGGAATATACTGATGGTTTGTACAGTGTTTATCTCATAGAAATTCCAAAAATTAAACTTATTGAACATATTTATCAGATAATGTATTTTTTCCATCATTAAAATATGATTTCAACTGCAGGTTCAGCACAAACAATGTTATCTCTGCCTCCAATACTGCCAGCCCACATAGAAGATATTTTAAAGCCATACTTTATGCCAGAGGAAAATGAACAAATGTATGCAACTGATCCCATCACAGAAATGAAAAGTTCCTATTTATTTCGTAACCTATTCAGGAATTGTGACCATATGGAACCGCCTGTAGAAGATCATGATATTGTAAAATCTCATTCAATGTCTGTAGAAGATTTATCACCTGTACGTTCCCCAGCTCAGCTAACTGGAAGGCATTCTCTTCCATTTGAAATGCCTGATCTTCATGAATGCAGTCTTTCGCCGATAGGAGGCAGTCATAATAACAGATCATCTAAGGATTCTAGGTCAGCTGTTAGACTGGACTTTTCAAGTAAGTCCAGCTCAGATGCCAGCATGGCAGTTCCTGATATTGGTAATGAAGTTTCAACTAACAGTGAGTTACTTGGTGAGTAATGTTTCAAAAATTATATGGAAATGTGTACAGTGTGGTCCATATATAATTTTCTTTAATAGGAATATCATGATTCACCAGAGACAGACTGTAAAGGTAAAAAGTTTGCTATTTTAGGTTTATATTAGATCTTAAAGACAAGGGATCCAGGCTACAGAAGAAAGGTTTGTTTGTTGTTAGCTTTTTATTAAAAAAAGTATGAATTTTAAAAATCTGATATGTCTAGTTATTACAGGTTTTTTCCAGTTATTTTGTACAACTTATTGTATCACCCCTGTAAATGTTTAGAGGATGAAACTAAACACATACATTTTCCACTCACATCTTACTTGAAACATTTTTTATACATATTCATTGCTGAAAATATTGAAAAATTTTTAATTTTTCCCAAATTTTTCTATTACGGTCCATTTTAGAGAAATCATGTATGGAACAAAAATTATAGAGAATAACATTTAAAGCAACTTTTATTTAAAGAATTTTCCTCTCTAAGCATAAATGACAGATATATTCCATAAAGTAGAAAAACAACCCCCTATAAAGTACTCCCCAGATGTTCCGACTATTTCCAAAATTCAATCAGCTCCCTGCAGGATGGATTGAAGCTTAAATTTAAAATTTGGTGTTTTTCTCTTTATCCGTTTTTGAGTTATTTTCAAAATTCGAAATTTGCACTTTTTCTCAATTATCTCGAATACGGTCCATTTTAGAAAATTTTTATATAGGATAAGAATGATAGAAAATAACATCAGAAACACCTTTTATTTGAAAAATTTTCTTAAAAATTAGAATTTTGCATATTTTGTTAAATTTCTCGAATACGGACCATTTTAGGAAAATTATATATAGGACAAAAATTATAGAGAATAATATTACAAGTAACTTTCATTTGAAAAATTTCGTTTTCCAAGCGTAAATAACAGATATATTCCATAAAGTAGAAAAACGACCTTCTATAAAGTACCCCCAAATGTTCCGACTATTCCCAAAATATAATCTGCTCACTGCAGGATGGGTTAAGGCGTAATTTTAAAATTTGGTGTTTTTCTCTGCATCCGTTCATGAGTTATTGAGTATACAGACACAAACTTACATATATCATCACAAAAATAGTCAAAACGGATTAGGGGGCCCCCAAAACGTAACAATTCGTCTAAAACTAGAAGTCGAAGAAAATCATGATTCCTAAACTTTTCTTTACTGTATAGTGTATACAGGGCCGCCGAGAGCCAGGTCGGGCCCCGGGACAATTCTCCAGATCGGGCCCCGCGACAATTTTATAAAAAAAAAGTTTTGAAGCAAAAATTTCTCCTCTTTACTTAAATTTCTTTAAAACAAAAAAAAGGTCTTCAAGCTTAAACTTCCCCCCTTTTGTGCCGAACGTCTGAAAGTAAAAACCTCGTCAAGAGTGGCCGGGCCCCCGTTATACCGCTGCCGGGCCCCCACTTGAGCCCGGGCCCCCCTTATACCGCTGCCGGGCCCCCACTTGAGCCCGGGCTCCGGGAATTAATCCCGGCTGCCCCCCTCTTGTCGGCGCTGATTGTGTACAGACAGAAAAGTAAAAAAATACATACTACAGTTATTAGAACTTTTCTATGTACTTACAGTCAGAGGCTTAGCCAGAAATTTGCCATGGAGAACTCCCCTAAACAAAGTCAGATAATTAAGATTGTTTTTGTTTAAAAAAAAAAAGTAAATAAAAATTAATATTTTTTTATAAAAGAATTAAAAACAAAAAAATATATAACACATAAAATTTAAGTCACAAAAAAATAAAATTTAAGTCACAAAAAATAAAATTAAAGTATACTTAACTAGTTTATTAAGGATAAAAATTTTCTTTATCCCTGTGTCCCAGACATTCATCCAGGCTATATCTCATAAACAAATAAGAGTGTGGGAGGGATTTTCTAGGGTGCTATATCAATAAAAAATATTTTCCAGTTATACCAGAAGTGACTCCAAACTTCTTTATTCTAAATGGAACACCCTGTATATTTTTACAAGAAATCTTGCTGCAGCTTTAATTGTAAACTGTAAAGTGACTCTCACATAATTTTAATATTGGCTAGCAAACCGGAATAAATCAATTATAAGAGCCAGTTGTTTTTTTTTTAGAATTTTCTCAAAACAATCCGCAACCGTTGGAACCATTGAGCGAATCCCCTATTAATTGGGACATGGAAAATGCTCACGTGTCTCTGGCGACGCCCGGAAGCAGTCCCGAATCGAAAGTCATGGACGTCAATCCGAACACGACGCCCCATTCTAAAATATTTACTAGTCAGAGAAAAAGACTCAGCCATAGCTTTATCATTGACGAGGAAGAATCGACAAAAGACCACGAATCATCCGTTGATAATTTGAAACAAAGTAGAAAGTTTTTTAGGAACGATGTTACTGACGCTGGATATCATACGGAAAGCGCCATTTTCTATGAGGAATCCAGATACAGCGTTCACATGTTTGCATCAACTCCCACCAAAATGAGAAGGAACGAAAACGTTCAAGAGCCTCATGATTTGATATTTTAAAGTTGATATTTTTTTGTAGTTTTCTACAAATAGTACTTTTTTATAAACTCAGAAAGTTTTGCCATTGATCGGATAGTAGAAATATTTATAATGTAAATCACAGATCAGAAAATTTTCTCAAAATCGTTATAGGTTTATTATTATTTACTTTTGTAAAACTGGAATTACATTTTTTAAAGTTAGATTCATAAAATATAGGTTAGTACCGTCCTATTTTTATTCTGTATAGCAAGTAAATTAAATTTTTTAGAGAATAAATGAAACAAATTTTTAATAATTTATAGTAGAAAATACTTAACATACAAAAAGTATTTAATCTTATTTCTGAAGTACACAAATTTTATTTATAATATTTAACATAACAATACAATTGTGACATTGCATTTATTTTTGTTCACAAGCATTGTACATTTTTATAGAAAATATTTCAATCTATATCCGGTCAATAAATTTTCTACATATTTTTTTTTTTTAACTACATGACTTTATTTTTTCATTTTTTAAACTTTTGGTGATGTTAATATTTGATAATTGTTTATATTAAACATTAAAAAAGGGTAGATATTGGGTATATTATTAACATAATCATTTTTCGAATGATGACTTTACATTCACAATAGAAATTTGTGAAAAAACAAAGATTTTTTTTTTATGTCGATATAATTTCGTTTTTGAAATGTTTTTTTAGATTTTATTTAATAGAATAAGTATTTTCAGTTTTTGCTTTACTGTTTACAAAACTAAAAGCTTAAATGGCCCAGGTGGAGTTACTATTTTTTTCTTCTTTTTTAATAACTTGCATTCTTCTCCTAATTTCTCTTATTTTCAACATACTATTGATTTAGTATAACTTTCTTTATTAGAATCTGCAATTATTTAAATTTATTTATTATTTATTTCCAAATGAGGCGAGTTGAAAAGAATTCTTGTGGCCAAACAAAAACAATGTGTTCTATCTTAAATTAAATATTTATTTGATGTAAATAACGACAGCCATGTCAAACTGGTTGTAAAAATTAATCAATTCTTTAAATTTTTAGTAGCACAATTTAAGATCTCAAAATAACTATTCACTGCCAAATAAAATAGTTATTACAAATGATCTAAAGACTAAATTCTACTGTAACGTTTAATGATAATTTTAGCGAATTTTGAACTGATTTTATGTTTAGGTATATTTAAAAATGTGCAATTTATAATAAAATATTTTTAGGAACATTTGTTGTATCATTTAATTTCCAACCATGATAAAAGAGTAATAACTTTGTTCCAGGTAAAAAATTCTATATTATATTTAACAACCTGCTATAAAAAGCTCAATCTGGTACTCATTGTTATATATAGGTCCAATTCACAATATTCTAATTTTGAAATATTTCTTACAATTTTAACAAATGTATTATTACTATTAGAAGCTAAACACAAAAATAGAATCATTATGTGGGGATTTTAATGTAAAATTTTTAGAACCTGATAGCAGAACAAGCAAACTCACAGACTTGTTACTTCAGTTTAATTTTGAACAAACAATATTTACATATACTCATATTACAGAGATTAAGTATTTTTGATAATTCTGATAACAATGAAATTTGTCCATAGTTATCTATGTTTGATGTTTCTCCTTTTTTTATGGAGAGGAATTACAACTGCCAGTTTAAATGCCTCTGGAAAAATTCCTTTTTTTATGTCTTCCATAGGAATGTAATTAACAAAAATAGAGTTTACAATATGTTGACCTACTGTACAACTCTGTGATATATTGCTTTGAAAATGATCACTAACCATATTGGTACATATGCCAGAAAAGTGAGAAGCAAATAAGTTACTTATTTCTTTTGTGTCTGTGATCTGTATGTTATTATAGTGCAAGGAGATACTAGTGGTACATTTAGGTTTTCTATTTAGATTTTCATTTATAATTTTCCATGTCTCTTTTATTTTTCCATAGAGTTGCTGTCAGTCTAATCAAGAGGTAACAACAAAAAATAAAGGATTTTCTCTTAAATCAAAACATTTTCTATTTACTTTCATAATAAGGAAATAAATGGAATATCTACAAACGCAAATAAAAAAAAAAAATTGTATTTCAAAATATATCTAAAATAAAATTACAAACAATAAATATTTTATTTATTAATATGACTTCAAATCTTACAAAATAATGTAACAATTCTTTTATACATAAGTGTTTTACTTAATTACTTACTAATTCTCATTCTTCAGTTTTTTGGATTAAGTTTGGGGGAATCACGCTTAATTGAACCTGAGGTGTAACATTTGAACTATGAGTCTGCTGTTTGGATGTCGATGGTGCATGCAGAGGTAACAATGTTTTTGTGCTCTGCTTCTGGGGGGCTGATTTGGATAGGCGTTCGCTTAATGCTTTCAAAGCAATTTGTCTAAAAAGTATAATATTTAGAAATGTCCAGAAATATATAATAAATGATATACAACCTTCTTCTTTCCATATCATGTTGATCTGCGATAGGAACTGTTACAGTAACACCTGTTGGATTAGACATGTCAAATTTTCTAATCACTTTCCTGCAAATTCCTATTTTAACTAAACCAGTGTGAACCACATTACTTAGAACAGCAATGGGAGGCTGGATGACATTCGGAAAAAAGCTAAAAATTATACATTAACAAAATATATATATTTTTAATTTACTAATTTACCTTGCAAATGTAAAATAATCAGCCATATCGCCCCTTGTACCATTCGAATGTTTCTGGTAAAACCTCAAATAGATCCAACTAACAATTAGTCCACTAAAAAACATCGTAGGGTAAGTACCATCTACAAGTCCTACAATTTTAAATAAGACTGAAAAGAAAAATACTGTCAATGGTACATTTCGATTGCTTAATTTCCCCAATGGTGTCTTAATAATAACTAAATCAGGCATAATTTGTTTCACAGCTACACAAACTCCAGCTATGTATCCAGCCAAACCGTGAATGTGTACACTAAACAAATATTCTGCATTGAAAGTACAACAATACAAGATAAAGTAAAACGCTGTAGTGATTACAGCAACACCGAAATTTACGATTGCGAAGAAAGTCATCATTTCCATTTGCCCCCATAACGGTTCGATTAGCTTTCCACACAGTCCGACTGTTACAATGTCCACTAACACTTCCCAAAAATGTATTTCCATAAAACAAAACGTAAAAGCTGTCCACAGCCAGAAAGATGAGGGCATTAAATATCCAGGAGTGACGGATATAACTCGTACCGCCTCTTCAGAAAACGATAATCCATAGCTGAAGAGTACTACTCCGCAGATAAACTTTACGGAGGTACTAGTGTTGCCCAATAGAGCCCCGAATTGTTGTTTTAAATAAGGTATATTTCTACTTAAAGCCCTAAGCATTGCCATCGTCAAATCATTTAGGTAAGTTATGTTCTATTTAATCTATTATTCGATTTACTTATTTTTTATATCTATGTTTACTTTTTAACAACGATTTGTCAAAAAAATATCAGCCATTTTTGATAAATAAATATGTCAAAGAGCATGTCATATGTCATGAGAATTCTGACAGTGTTGTCACGTTATTGTTTGTGATTCAATTTCCGATTAGACCTTACAGCTGTACCTTGTATCGATAACGAATTATTAATAATCAACATACTATTCGTATAAGTAAAATCAAACATTATAAAAAATAGATTTATGTTCTGTCGATGAAGAAATAACTAATGTTGGATAAATTGGCAACATTGCACAACTTTAGAAGCCTAGTTACTTTTCAATGATATAGTGTTCTATAGAATGATCACTCATTTCGAAAAACGGGTCGCAATGTACGCCTTGCCTTGTGCTGGATACTGATCAGAATCCGTCTAGCCCAAATGTGTTTTAAAATCAAATAAAATAAAATGACATATTTAATGTAAAAATGTCGATTTAAACCTAGTTTATTCCTTAACTACTTGCGGTGAAATTGGAACTTAGACATATTTTTAGTGCGAAAATGAGACTCTGTAATAGTTTTTTTTGACTAAATAAAGCATTTATATATAAGATAATTTGAATAAAATAGAATTTATTCATCTTTGAGAATAATACACTATACAAAGGCACTAGGTACATAATGTACAATCCTATCAGACTAGTCAAAAAAGTGTTAAATAAAATACATTAAAAAATAAAATAAAATATACATATAATAGACAATTCATGTTAAGATTAGTTTAAAAGTTCAAAAAATCTTCTATACTATAAAATACATTATTTACAAGAAAATCATTAAGATGTTTTCTTAAATCATTACGACTAATTTGATGATAACCTGTAGTATCTTCTAATATGTTACTGAACTTATTGTAACACTTAATCCCAATATATTTTGGTGAATGCTGGCTTATTTGTAGTCGTGAAAAAGGTTGTTGGATGTTAAATTTTAATCTAGTATCATATGAGTGCAGGTCTTTATTTTACTTAAATATATGCTCATTATCTTTTATGTATAAAATTAGTTGAAAAATAAAAAGGGTAGGTATAGTATTAAAATTTGCGTTTTCTTGAAAAGTTCTTTACATGATGTTGTTAGTGTCACCTTATACATGGCTCTCAGAACCTTCTTTTGAGATACAAAAGCTCTTTCAAAGTATGGTGAAGAACCCCAAAATATTAACCCATATTGTAGAGTTGAATGAACCAAAATAGCATAGTTTTAAAGTATCAAAATATAGTGTCTCCCTTAATTTTTTTTAGATATAACAACAAGTACTTAATTTTGAAGTTACCATTTTTATATGAGCTTCCCAATTTAATTTGGGATCTAATATTATTCCTAAAAATGTTATGTCATCAACGCTTTGAATAGTTTTTCCGTCAACGTGCAAGTAGGGTTCGTAATCTGGTAATATATTTTTGTGTAGAAATTGCATGAAGTTTGTTTTTGTTACTTTTAATGCCAGACTGTTATCTTTACAATACTGGTTAAACTGACGAGATGCCTCGTTGCTACTTTGAGTGACCTGTTCAATTTGATAATCTGCCATTACAATATTGGTATCATCGGCATATTGAACTATTTGTTGAGAGCTTAAACAAAAATTACTTATATCACTTATAAAAAGAAGTGGGCCCAAAACTGAACCTTGGGGAACTCCTATATTGTACATGGAAGAGGATCAGATTTTAGAATATTTGTTACAATTACTTGAGTTCGATTTCTTAAGTAAGACTGTATCCATTCATAAGATTTCCCTCGTATTCCTAACCTATTCATCTTCAATAATAAAAGATTATGATCCACCATATCAAATGCACGGTTAAGGTCATAGAAGAGTCCCAAAATATGTTTTTTTTATCATTGAGTGCTTGATATATAAGCTCTAGGCAAGCTGCAATTGCAGTAGATGTTGACTTATTTTTTCTAAACCCATTTTGAGTATTTGGCAACATATTAAAACTTTCAAGGTAATTAGTGAGTCTAATAAAGCATGCTGACTCAAATATTTTAGTTATTTGACTAGATATACAGATTAAACGATAATTTTCTATATTAGATGCAGATTCCTTATTTTTATAAACAGGAATTCCTTTAGATTTGGGAATAATCCCGAAACAAAGGATTCAATAATCAAATATGATATATGGGTTCAGCAATATAATGAGCAACCGATAACAGAAGTTTACCATTTATTTCGTCAATACCTTCAGTGGGTTTAGAAGTAGTTTTTTTGATTATGAGTTGTTGGAAAAAGAAAAAAACTTTTATGATGTTTATCAATACTCATAGTATAGTTAGGTACAATATTATTTTTATTTACATTAATAAAATAGTCATTGATATAATTTACTTTTTCTAAGGGTGTTAATTTGTCATCATTTGTAAGTTTAATAGGATTCAATAAGTTGTTTTTTCTATTTCCCCTACTCTCGTTTATTATATTCCAGGATTCTTTCATTACGTTATTACTTTTTAAAATACGATCATTATTTTTTCTTCTCAAATATTGTTTTAGTTTTTGATACTCTTTTTTTAAATTATTGTAACGTTCTGTATAACATGTAGAAGTTATTTCTTTCTATAAAAGAATAAATTTTAGTTCGTATATTATAATATAAAGATTGTTTTTAACTAAATTTATTTCAAAAGCAATACTTTCTATATTAGAACTATTTAAATACAGTGAATCTTATAATTAATTATACAAAATATTCATGATTACAGGGTGGAGACCTTAATTATAATAAATTCGCTAGCGGGAAGGTGAATAATTTTTCTAAAATTTCCCGAGACACGTCAACGTTTTAATATATTTACCTACATTTTGTGCAATTTGAAAAATATAGCCTTTTGGGGGTAGCTGAAATCACCCTCAACATGTTTTTTTCAAATGAAACCCTGTGACTTGTGGTGCGTTTGGGGTTGCGTAAAATCAAAACGTAATTTAAAAGTTTATTTTATTTTCAATGCCTGTACATATCTGTAAAAATATTATTTACCAGAAAATCTCAACTAAAAACTACACATAAAGACTCCTATTTGTAAACCGGTTCTGTAAATGATTTGTTTACAACGTAACTGGAGACAAAACAAAGATTTTTATGTATTAGACAAAGATACAACTTCGCCCAATGAAACCGCTCATTTACATATGTATGGTCACTCTATATAACTCTATATAACTATATATCGGTGGTGCTTTTATTTTTATATTAGATTATAACGCCCTCTCTAGTGGAATATGGCAACTGAATGAGACAGGAAACATAATGTAAACAGTCAACAATCCAAATTATAACATTGTTTTTAAACGTATCTTAAAATGCCAAATAGTCACGATCACTGTAGTGTTTACAATTGCTCCTCATATAGAAAGAAATGTCCAGAACTTTCTTTTCATTTTTTTCCCAAGCCAAACGAGAAGATATTGGTCACGGATGAACAAGGTAGAATGCAGCTTTGTAATCGCTTAAAAATATGGATCGCTAAATTACAAATGAAGAATCCAGTTCATAAACGTATGAAAATATGTTCCCGTCATTTTACCAACGACGATTTTGTTTTAAAAGGTAACTATCAGTGTGACATAAACTTTTTTATATTTACAGTATTATTTTAGGTTTGAGCAATAGGAAATGCTTAAAAAAAAGCGCAGTGCCTTCTAAAAATTTGCCAGTGGGGTATGATAGGAAACCGCAAGCAAATAATAAATATCTTCAGTACAAGAAACAAAGCACTGCACCTGCACCTTTATCGACAATAAGTACTTATGAAACTTTGGCAGTAGAAGGGCTTGTACTGTTAAGTAAACATTCTTTTTCAAATAAAAGTCGTAATGAATCAATTAATGTTTACAATTCAGGTGAAATGGTGGATAATAGGAAAATAGAACCAATTATGCATTCAGGTGTTGATGTTATAATAAAATAGATCTGTTGTATAATTTATTTGATGTTAGCTTTGTAAATATTTATACATAATTATTAATAAAAGATATTTTTAAAAATGCGTTTCTTTAGTTTAAATAACTATATATTTGCAGAAATCAGAGGAAAAAAAATATTTTAATAAATATCCATATATTTATTGAGGTAACAATCATTTTACACATATATCATTACAAATGCTGGAACATGAATAACAAATCGAATCATTAACATCAGAATTCTGATCAAATTTGTCTGAAATATTTTGAAAACGTTCCTGCCTTGTAATGCCATAATCTAGGAATTCATTAGAAACCAAATGTGAGAAGTTTGTGGACTGTTGTGATGTCAACTGATCACCAATTTCTGGTATAGGACCCTAAAATAAAATGTTTTATTATTTTACACCTAAAAACTAAAAAAAAAAGACATTACCTTGCACAACCTACAATGAACATCAATATGTTTATTCAAACTCAATTTATCACCAGTTTTTAAAATAGTTGTAACAGTGGCTGGATAATTTACTTGCAAGTCTGTTACAAATTTTGTCATTAGATCTTGAACAGATGAATATGGATTTACTTCAATTTGCCTGACTGATAAAGGCTCAAGGTTGTTGTGGTTATTATAAAAGGCCAGTTCTTTCATATCAAATAATCTCAATGGTTTAAGGATTTTAACTTCTGTGTCACGATCATCACAAAACCCCTTAAAAGGTAAAAATTAGGAATATATAAAATACTATAAAAAAATTACTTACAGTATCTATTGAAATATGTGATCCACGTCCCAATGATACATTTGACAACAAATCTGAAGCAATATCAACAGATATTTCTGGTGTAAATACAAATTTACATTTATAGTATTTTGCTACATCTATCAGTAACTGCCTCCTATAACAAATGCATACTTTATCTCATAACCTAATTTACTTAAAATTATATACCTTAACAATCTTTTTATGTCATTTTTGTTAGTCTTGGAAGCCTTTTTATTTATCACATAATCTAATTTCTCTTTATCATCTTCAGAAATTATATTTGTGGTAACAAGTTCTGGCAGTTTTTTGGGATCAGTAATATAATCAGCAAATGAAATACAATGCAATTCAAAATCAAAAGACGATACTTCTTTCTTTACTTGCTCTAAAAGGAGTTTTCTTTCATCAACATTAAGATGATATTGATCTAAAAATGAAGAATACAGTTATCACTATTTAATGATTTATACTTCTTATGTTTACTTACCATCTATAAACAAAATCAAAGGTTGGAACCGAAGTCTTTTATGAGCCATTAGGTCCAATCCAGATCTGAGAAAATGTAGTAAAGATGTGCTCGGATGACCAACTTTATACCACACTAATACACGGTCATTTGTTTGAATAAGACGATATTTTCCTAACGAAGCTTTGAATTTATGAATAGTGCCAATCAGAAAGCAATTCTTACAATAGGCATCTTTACCTCGTAAAACAACACAAGACTTTTCCACTCTACACTTGTTACACGTTTCTGATCTGTAAAATATGAACTAAATTTCAATAGAAGGCTTAAAATATTTGTTGTCAACTTACAATTTTATACCGCTTTCTTTACGCATAGTTTTTTCAGCTTGATTGTCGTAATCATCGTCCCCAACACTGCACATTTTTCTTTATAAAATTAATTTTACTTTATTTTAAAAATCTGTTTCCACATAAACACATGTTTAATCCAAAATGACAAAACTGACATATGACATGACTTTTAGTAATCTTCTATTTTATTACGTAGCCTCCAATCTATAACACTAATAGCACATAAGTGTGTTTTATTTTTATTTAGACATTTATTTTTATTATAGTTTAGATAAAAAAATATCTCTTTTTAACGTTCCTTTTATTTAAATAAATAATATTTATTTAAAACTTTAATATAAACAAACCGATGCGAAAACGATTTTGACATTTCAAGTTTATTAACCTCATAACCTCAATTTTTATTTAATTTTGATATTTTGAAGTGTGTGTGTAATATAAATGATAAAAAATGTGATAGTCATTATTCATTATTCATGCGATTTAAACTATTTTTAAAAAATAACATCAATTTATTGCCGAGATTAGTTGTACAAAGAGAATTATGTATATGTATTCAATGATAGTAACCTCCCACAATTTATCAAAGTCGTTCAAACATTTGAAATTTTTTAATAACAATTTTAGAAGAACATTTAGCAACATGTCTCAAAAAATTAATCAAAGTAAAACGTACATTTCTGTAGAAATTCCTGAAGCCAAACCAAGTAATTCTAAAGGTGTATTTTCTCGAATATTTCGCAGAAATAAGCCAGAAACAAAGAAAGAAGGAGGAATTAAGAAATCAGAATTAAAAAGGTTGTTTTCTTTAGCAAAACCAGAAAAATGGAAACTTGTCAGCGCTATTGGGTTCCTTGTAGTCTCGAGTACAGTAACTATGGCTATACCATTTAGCTTAGGAAAAATATTAGATATCATTTATGTAGGAGAAAAAGATATAGATGCTGCAAGGACGAAATTAAATCAAGTGTGTGGTGTCTTATTGGGTGTTTTTGTACTAGGAGCAATATGTAATTTTGCGAGAGTGTACTTAATGTCGACTGCTGGTTATCGAATGACCAATGCTCTAAGAAGACAAGTATTTAGTTCAATTTTAAAACAAGAACAAGGTTGGTTCGACGTGAGGCCTACAGGTGAATTGGTCAACAGATTATCAGCAGACACACAGGTAAAATGATGGTGAGGGTTTATTTTACCACTTCCAATTAATGTATGTGTTGTGATAGTGCTTTTCAGGAAAAAGTAATGTAAATTATGTTTTAGATTGTTGGCTCAGCTCTTTCACAGAACATTTCTGATGGTTTGAGGTCTCTAGTGATGGTATGTTCTGGTACTGGCATGATGTTTTATATGTCTCCAGAACTGGCTTGTGTTGGTTTGGCAATAGTGCCGCCTGTAGCTGTAGTTGCTGTCATATATGGAAGATTTGTGAGAGGTATTTCAAGGAAACTTCAGGATTCTTTAGCTGATACAACCAAGGTATTTATCACCCTGATTTTTTAAAGGGTATCATTTGTTTCTGGGAATATGTTATTGATATGATTTTTAAATAAATATTAAAGGCTAAATTCTGTAATTTTTCACAATTTTAAATGTTTTTTATTTTTGGGATGTAACATAAATATACTGTTATACTATATATTCTTTAAGCAAAAAAATCTGAGATGTCCAACACATGACTTTCCTGTCTAGTTATTACAGGCTTTTTTTGGTTATTTTGTACAACCAATTGTATCACCCCTGTAAATGTTTAGTTGATGATAAATACATACATTTTCCACATACATCTTATTCGAAACTTTCCCTCAAATTTTTCAATTACAGAGAAATCATGTATAAAACAAAAAAATATAGAGAATATTTTCTTAAAAAGTCGAATTTTGCACTTTTTGTCAAATTTCTCGAATAAGGATCATTTTAGGAAAATTATGTATACAACAAAAATTGTAGAGAATAACATATAAGCAATTTTCTTCTCCAAGCATAAATAACATATATTTCATAAAGTAGAAAAAACACCTTCTATAAAGTACCCCCACATGTTCCGACTATGCCCAAAATTTAATCATATCACGCCAAGATGTATTAAAGTTCAAATTTGAAATTTGGTGTTTTTCTCTATATCCATTTTTCAGTTATCTTCAAAATTCTAAATTTATATACAATAAATAATAATATAAAATTTTACTAACTAGTAATCAAAACTGGCATCAGCAAATATTCTAAAGTTTCCAGATATTTTAACTTTTATTAAATCATTAATATATAGCATGAATAGAACTGGTCTTAAAACATATCCTGGATCTCCATGTTTTAATTTGGAGCGTTTCAAAATTCTACCTGCCATCTTTACAACTTGTATTTGATTTGTCATAAATTATTTACAAAATGGCCATTAACAAAGACTTTTCGGAAATAATGACAAGAAAATGTTTATGATTCAATTGAGCCAACAGTTAACATTTTCTTGGCTGAAATCGTATCTCTATATACCAACTTTGCAACGTTTGCTTTGATCTATTGATCGAAATATTATCAAAGACAAACAAATTGTTGAAAGGTCTAATCAGAGATCAGTACTTGGGCCACTAATTTTCCTTTTATAGGTTTGTTCTTACTAGTATTAAAAAATATATAATTTTGTTTTTTTATAACACTTTAAATTTATTGTCGTAAAATTTAGGTATGGTTAGTTTTCATGTATTTTTAAACAATGTTATCTCTCTAGACGTTTATCTTATTTATTTATAGTCACCAATTTTACATAAAAAAATATTTTATAGGTAGTAAACAATTTAAATGAATTATACAAATATTACCTTTTTTTTTCAATTAGTGCAGTGTTTAATTATAAGCATATCCCTAGAACTCAGAAATGTCACCTCATTAAATATAAATTAAGAGATTATAAGTTAATGATATTTTAGATATAGATATCGAGAAACATGTAACTTTTTTTTTATGGTTACTATACCTTATAATTATTATGTTAATAAACGATAAAGTAGTAAAATATTAAATTACATTAGTGCATTCTGGAATTAAAATTAAAAAGTGTATTTTTTTCAAATATTTGGTGATCTGTGTTTATCCCCCTTCCCCTACTATTTTTGTATTGATATAATTGGAAAAGGTGGAGCAATTCATATAATATAAAATACCCTAACTTTGATATTTATATAATACTTTCCTGAAATACCACCCTGTATATTATACACTACAGAGCGAGTCGTTACCGGTGGCCCACCCTGTATATTTTTGTATCCTACCCGAAAAACTTGATTTATATAAAATAAATCAAAGAGATCAATGCAAGAAGTGGACATGTCCATATTTTTACCAAAACTACCTACCTAATTTTTAATAAGGACCATGTTCTCTGTTATATTTTACATTGTCCTATCCAAAAACCAAACTTCTTTCTTTAATAGCAAAATAATATAGTTCGGTTTCAAATTACCTAAGACGGACCTGTGCTTTTTCAAACGTTCGCGCCATGCATTGCTTCCCAGACAGCACAAAAATATTGCATGAATATTCAATACATATCTCAACTGCATACTCCTATATTCCATGGATATGCCATATCCGCCATGGCATATGACAGGAAGATTGCAGGAATATTCAAGGTCACCATGAAACATATGCCCACAATATGTTTTTATCTGCCAAAATATATGTATGGCATATTCTCTGGATTTACTGAGGATATCTATGTATGCCTATATTCATGGTATTTTGAATATTCATGGCATATTCAATTTTTTTTTTGAAATGCCGTACCATAGTTTAGAAAATAAAACCCATACTTAAACACAAAATAAATTTTATTTTAAAAATAAAGCAAATTTTCAAAAAATAAAACTATACATACAAAAAACTAAAAATTTAAATTTATTTGCTAAGTTCTTCACGTACTTTTCTCCTAAAAAAAATTATATATAAGATATGTATATGTATTATAAGATATTTATAAATTATTTACATTTTGATGCTTTTAATAATAAGTGTTAGAATTCAGATAAAAATATCAGTAAAATAGAAATATTTCAAAACCTTGAGACAAACATTACAGTAATACTTACTTCTATAGCATCTTTGAGTCACTTTATTTATAGGCCTCTACATTTTCCTTTGCCATTTGTGTACTGTGGATTTTCCTACACATCTCTAAAAAAACAAAAATAGGTTTACATGGTGCCTTGTCTGCAAATCAAAAGAGGCTCGTCTACCAATTGATTTACACTTCTTGTAAAATATTTATGATTTTAAGCACCACACTGATACTACAGAAGGACCATATATTATAAATAATCAGACTTACCCCTTAAGTATAATTTATAACCACCGTAACGTAACTTAACTTAACGCCGTAGAAACTTAACCTAAGATATAAAAATAAAGTCTATTTATAAATGTCCGTAATGTAAGAGTAGAGCATGCGTGTTGATTTCAGAGATTATCAAATTATTGACAACCTCATGAAATAAACAAGTGTAAACTATGTACTTAACCTCTAAATAAAACTTATAAATTATGATTTTGCTATAGAGAAAGAATATATTAACTACTTTAAAAGCAATAATATAAAAATATAATAAAACAAAATAGTTTACCGAAGATGTTGATTGTTTTTGAGCAATAATGAGAATTTAATCTTTCCTAGCAAAAAAGTTTTGTCTTATTTCAGTTCTAGACTTGATGTTTATAGGTATATGCAGCTACACTCATATCTCATAGATAGTTTATCCCCAATAACATAAACACAAATCATTCATGATAATGTATGTCCATCAAAAAGGAGAATGATAGTTTACAAATGGTATTTTTCTATTTATTTATAAAAAAAAATAAAAAGAATAATTGACAGTTATCACATGCCGAACGCAGAATTATCTCATTGGCTAACCGTAAGGTCTTAAGTTAAGTTATGTTGTTAAGTTAAAAGTTGGTGAACTTTCTACGGTACGTTAAGTTCTTAAGTTACGTTACGAACATTATAAATAAGTATACGTAAATTCAATATTTCAACTTACGTTAAGTTCTTAAGTTACGTTACGGCGGTTATAAATTAAGCTTTAGGTGGGTATATCGTAAGAAAAAACAAAAACTATAGAGAAAGTAAAAGTTAAAAAGTCTTTTGGTAGGTAGAGAGGGGGTAAACGTCAAACCACATCGGGCGGCTCCGAGAATTTCACAGTAATGCTTACCTGCCAGTGTCGTTTCATAGAATAAGTAATTTTAAATTGTTATCGGCGGAACCGGACAATCGCATGTATTTATGGATTATAAATAATTATTAAACATGTATTATAATATTCAAATTATAATTTTACAAAATTTCAACAGCTATTCACAATTTATTAAACTATTTACTCGAAATTGTTATTAACATCTATAAAATAATTTTGTACGCCAATGTATCGTGTCCACTTCGGTGAGATCCGCTGACAACCTGTCAAGTTATGTGTATAAAGTGGGAGAACTGGCAAAAGCATTTCCAACTTTTACTTCTGTTCTACACACTACACGTTTCTATTCTAGTAAATCTGACAATGTTTGGTTATGTCATATTCTTCTTTTTTTTTTTTCATTAGTGGCCTTCACCGTTTAGAGTATTTGACCAGGGTATCATGAATAAAAAATATTCCTCACAATCGAACTTCCCGTATAACAAAGACTTACGTTCGACGATAGGCTAGATTATAAATGGAGCCAATGGCTGCGTTCATCCGCGCCATTTCAAGGAGCGCTACAAAAGTAGCGATCACTTACGCTACCTGATCGATCTTTATGCACGGATGAACCATGTTTAAAAGTGACATTTGATTTTGGTTTATTCATTTTACTTTTGAGTTGAATGTCTCTGGTTGAAGATTTGTTTGTTTATTTTTCAATTGCTAATATGCTAATATAACCCTACTAGTCACCAAGCAAACCGTGGACGTAAGTGCATAAGACAGATCAGTGATCACCGATCAGACGTAAATAAAATGCGCTACTTTTAATGGCGGCCGCTCCTTGAGCGAAATGTAAAAATACACCGTTCATACGTGCCACTCGAGAGCGCTACCAGATCGATCAGGTAGCATGTGGCGCGGATGAACGCAGCCATTAAGACACTATTAGGTAATTTTTACTACCAACTACCAATACGTACTAGGCGCATACTTTTGACTGTTAGAATCATTCTTTTGTCCTTTTCTTGTCTACATTATAGGAAACTATACATACTTATTTTATCTATGAAGAGAAAGATAATTTGATCTCGGAGGCTTAATTTTTTTTATTAATTGAAAATAAGTTTGCACAATAATGATTTAAAGTTACATTCCGAAGTTCTAAGTTCACGTTTTTTTTTTTTAATTTAAGTATAAGCTAAACAAGGATGATCCTGTTAACTATGTCTTCATTTGTACTTATAGATAATAAAACAAAATAGTTAAATATGACATAATATTCTACAGAGATATCTATAC